AAAATCCATTTGAAAAGAAACTAGAAATGTGTATTTATACTAACTGCTTCCATGGCTCCTCAGTTCAAAAGAGATGGCTCATAAGGAAAGTTATAGAACTAAAAGGAACGTATTTGGAATAACTTGTCAGATATCAAAAATGACTAAATCTTTCTAAATCTTTATGAACCTTCCTGTAATTTTTAGGGTATGGCAGGGGTTATCAGTCATTGTATAGTGTGAGGACCTCCCTTAGACACTGTGTTAACTATAGATGTACCTGTTTGGTGGGTAACTATCTCCTTTATAGAATCTTTAAAGATTCTCGAGTCTTTGTTCCGTAGAGTGGAAACTTGCTGCCTCTTTAATATGAGCAAACTCATTTGAGTTCTTTCCTTGTTCTATTCTCCCAGTTTCTGCTGCATCTCAGTCCTTGAAGATTAAATTGCTGATTTCTTGTGAAGATAGGAGAACATTACTTTTGGTTCCTTGAACTTTAAAGCATTTGTGGTTATTAATACATCCCAAGTTGTTAGACAAGAAAGTGTACGTCATTGCCAGATGGTTGGACACAACTTGGAGATCACAGCTTAGCTCCCAGAGGAATAGTGTCCTAAATATTTACACTTGGAAGGCTTTATTCTTAAGAGCATATTTCAGGGCTAAAGCTTTGTAAAACTGACTTGTGCCTAAATATTAGTGAAAATTGGTTTTAAACACTGATGCATCTAGATGAACAGAGATTAGAGACATAACAACCAAGTGTAATGTATGAACCTTGTTTGTATTGTGGTTTAGAGGGAAAAGCTTACAAAAGATATTCTTGAGATGTATGGAAAATTTTGTGTATGGATTAAGATATGTTGTTAATTTGTATGCGATAACAATATTGTGATTCTATGGAGTTTTCTTATTCATAGGAGATCCATGTGCATTTAGGGTTAAATTGTCAAGATGTCTGAAGCTTTTATAATGTCTAACAAGCAAACAAATGTATATATGGAGATTAATTAAATATGGCAAAATAAAAAAAAGTAGATCTAGGTAGAAAACATACAGATGTTTATACTATTTTTCAGTATTTCTCTATCTGTGAAAACTTCTATAGTTAAGTAGAACGAAATTTTAAAAAGAAATGTAGCAGCTCAATAAATTTCTAAACAATACCATCTAATTATTTCCCTCTGCCTCCCTGCTGCTTAAAATATATGTATAGTGACAGTAATTTAGTCCCATATTGATAAAGGCTCAGTTTTTCACACCAGTTTTTGTAGTGTTGAAAAGATCTAGGGGGCTGGCTGGTTCGTTCAGTTGGTTAGAATGTGGTGCTGCTAACACAAAGGTCCAGCGTTCAATCCCTGTACAGGCCAGCTGCTATTAAAAACAACAACAACAAAAACTATATATTGTAGGCTCTAAGACTTTATATCCCTTTTCTTTTAATTCCTCACTTCCTCCACACACCCTCTGCTAATGTATTAAATGCCTGCTGCATGGGGCTAGGAACTTTAATAATTTGGGAATATATGACATATGATTGTTAAAAATAGGCCTCAAGGAGGTAATTGGGAAAATAGTCAAGAAATCTAGCAGTGGCAGTATTTGAGCATTATTACTCTAGAATTATTACAGAGAATGAGGAAATGTGTGAGCAGTTGATACCCCAGCCAGGAGGTGTATAGAAAAGTTTCTCTAAGGAGGGGATATTTGTGCTCACTCTTAAAGTATTAATAAGAGTTAGCCAGGTGGATAAAACTCTTTTCTGGTCTTCTGCCATGGCACTCTCTACAATTTCTTATTATACTTTCTTATTATAAATATTATTTATGTATACTTATTTTAGTTGTTTAATGTTCTGTCTTTTCCCTGGACTACCCCAAGGGGGCAAAAGTTGCTAGGCAGGGCTGCAACTAATAGGTATAGGTAACATAGAAGGAACAGTGTGAGGGGGACAAAGAAGACATGAGTTTGATTTTGCCCTTGAATGGAATTTGAATTAGTATTTGAATATATTATTTGTTTTCTGATTTAGCTTGAAAGGACATGACCGCAAGCCTGAATGTCCTGATATGTGTAATTCAGTGTTTTGGAGTGTATGTTAATAAAGAGAAAAATACCTTGTAGAGTTGGAGAAATGAAGAAAATATTAGATATTACAATGGTTTGTGATCCTCCAAAGTTCACACCTACCTTTCAAAATGTTATTCTTTAATATTTAATTTCTATCATTTGCAAGAAAATAAATTTAAATTTATTTTAGTTTTTCTCCTTAGAATCAATAATGCCAAAAAAAAAAAAAAAAGATTGAGAAGTGCTAGACTATAAATGCAATGAGAACTGGGGGCTATACCTGTCTAATACAGTGCAGTATCCCCAACATCTTATAGAGTGCCTGGCATTTAATATACACACAATAAATACTAGTTTCCTTGTTCATTCATTCCTTCCACAAAGTGGGGCAGTGTGTTCAAGTGGAAGGACCTGTATGCTCACAGGCACAGAGAGTATGGCATATTTGGGAACTTCTTTCATCCCCTGTGGTTGGGGAGCAGGCTGAGTGGTGAGGGTGGGGGTAGCAGGAGATAAGGCCAGAGATGTATGTGTACAGAGCCTGTTCCTTGAAGGCCTCATCTAGGCCCTGCTCAGGAGCTGGGGCTTGCAGACCTACGTGAGGGAGAGAGTTGGAGGAATTTAAGCAGGGTGGTGACCAGATCCATGCTTGTGCTCTGGGAAGAGTGGAACTGGCTGTGTGGAAGACACATTGGAAGAGAAAGACAAGGCGCAAGGAGGCTGATTAAGAGGACTTCATGAAAATGTGGGGGATAAATAATAAGGTCTGAACTAGGTGGTAATGGGAGATTGACTAAATATATGTAAGGCAGAATTGGCGGGGCTTGAAGGCTAGAGTGAAGAGGGGAGGGGACTCTTAGGAGACTCTCCAAGATGCCTGGATTACAGGGCCACAATCAGTAGACATTAAGTAATGCCAAAGGAGCTTTATGTGAAGGAGAGAGAAAAAGGAATCCAGTTTTGTGCTTGAATGGGTTTTAACTTAGCATTCAAATATATCCTTTGTTTTCTGAGCTTGAGTGATGACATGTACTTTAGTTTTTTTGGAGTATGTATTAATAAAGAGAAAACTATCTTAGAATTGTGGTCTTGTGGCTCAATTCAGATCTCAGCAGCAGTGAGAAGTGCTTGATTCTCTGCTGCCCCTTGGTGGCAGCAGGTGTGGTTAGCAAGGAGAGAGAAGTCTAAGCATTCTCTTGGTCTT